TTTTTTTTTATTCTGCAAAACCTTTCTTCAAGCCCACCATTCTAATTTTTTTGAAGACATTCCACTATATATAGCTGCTTCATTCATTCTTGAATTTTGCAAAAAGGAGAAAAATTTTAAATGCCTGCCATAAAGTCTTTCAAGCAAGATTTTTTTTTAGTCTGCAAAAATTTCATGAAACTTTGCTGGTCTGCAAAAAAATGTTATGGAAATTTGCTGGTTATGTTGAGCCAAAAAAGGTTGGGGAACACTGCTGTACACAATAGCACACACACACACACACACACACACACACCATGGTGATTTCATTTTTCACAAATACTGACTGTTTTCCCGCAATTGTTTGGCCCTTTCTTTCCACCAGGCCAGCTCCTTTTTCGCCAGGTCCAGTTTGTTCTTGATGCGTTCGTTAGCCCCTCGCTGATTCAAGGCATCTCGCTCCAATTCCTTCTGCCTGTCGGTGTCTCTGATGAGCCACTGGAGCTCTTCCACGCTTTGCTCCTCTTGCTGCAACGCCTGCGGGGAATAATAATAACAATAATAACAGAGGCCTTTGTTGATTTGTTGATGGCGCAAGAAAGAGAGAGAGAGAGAGTCTCTTTGTATTCTGTTTGGTTCTTCCAGTTGGAATGACTGAAGGCCTTTTGCAGGGCGGGAGGGGGAAGGGGTTGCCCCAAGGGTGAAATTGGGTAAGAATTTACTTTGAGGACAGGAAAGGTTCAATTGATCTTCGACAAATTACTGCAATAAAAGTGTCAAAAATATTTCAACAAGTGAGAGGTTGTTGCAATTGTTAGAAATAAAAGACTTGATCAGCTGGGCTGTGGCTGAGGCAAAGCCCTAGTTTAACGTTGATATATTTTGGTTTTAAAGGGTGAACACAAGCATTTTTATGATTATAATTTCTTTCAATTTCAAGAACAGTTTTTCAAAGGGTTTGGACATGCAAAAAAATCCAACAATTGACAGTAGACACTTGCTGTGAGGTCTGCTCAGCTTGAAAAGTCTGAATTTGAATGATGATGATAGTTGGCCAGAGTTGACCAAGAAGACTTGACAAGAAGAGTTGACTTTCATTTCAATGAAGAAATGAAAGGAGATGTCCTTGCGAACTTTCAGAGATTTCCCAAAATAGTCCTTGAAGGACAGCCCTTAAATTCAAAGACTGTGGGAACTATAAGTCAACTTTGGTCCCACAAAATTCCCAAGAAGATTATAGTTTGAACTTTGTTAATTCCTTAGACTTGTATTTCTAGACAACCCTTTATTTCATTATTGACAACAAGTGACATTTATAAAGAAATAAAAATTTAAAACTAAATATATAGCATTGTACAGTATGTAGAAATTAAATTCAATGGCTATATATACAGAGCAAATAATTCAATTATTTGTTGACAACATGTTTTTCAAACAGGTTTAGATTTCATGGTGACCCTGAGGGTGAATATGCTGATCATGAACACTTTGAGGAGTGGAAAGGGCAATTCATCTTTAACAAATTACTACATTAAAATTTAAAGTTTCATAGAAGTATAAGTTGATGACTAATGCAGAGCAAATAATTAGATTATTTGCCAATACAATAGTTTTTCAATCAGGTTTTGATTTCTTGAGTTGATTTTTTTTCTCTGTCTCTCTCATCATTGCGCCACTGTAATACATCAGGGATTTTCAAGGATTATTCAAGTGAAATTATTTTTTCGAAACGGGATTTTAAAAAGCGTGTAAAAACTCTTATTCAAAATCGTATTTCCTGAGGTGCAGATGTCTGATTTTTTTCATTTTAAAATCAGGTTTTGATTCCGTTGTGCTCGTCTTTCTTTCTTTTTTTCTAGTTTCTTTCATTGCCTATACAAATGCATCACGAAATTGCAAGGGTTCTTTCATTGAAAACTTTTTTACTTCAATCTTTAAAATAAGGTGTGAAAGTTTTTGCGAATGATATTTTTAAAATTGTATATCAATGTTTTTCTGTTTCCTGGATCCCCAGAATAATAGCCTTGAGGTCTACAAAAATTTGAGTTGTACTGTATAGTGGTTTCAGAGGAAATTCTACAAAAAAATTCACATGGAGAGGATTTTGATTTTAGGAAGGTTTTAGTTACTGTGGTTCAACTGTTCAAATATATCCAAAATTCTTCTCTTAACCAAGAATAATATTTCAGGCATATTTGAGGCATAAGTACGCATAATCTAATTTTTTGCAACTAAATAACCCCAAACTTTAGATATACGCCATTCAATCAAAACCTGGTCCAATTCAGCTCTGGTGAGACTGCAAAGTTTGCCTCGTTCTTGGATCAGCGATTTCAACTCCTCAATTTCGTTCAAATCTGTCCAAGTTTCCAAGTTTTCCGCATTTGACTTGAGCTTCAACATGTGATCTCTATACTTCATAAACAGGGCTGTAACAGCAGACAAGCCGAAACATGCACCAGGGATGATCCAATAAGCAGAGACTTCCGATGTTGCAGGTATTCCTGGATGTACATTCATTGGGTTCAACTCTTCCGCCATACGACCAAATTTAATTTCGGGGAGAACTTATTTTCTCAGCAAGGAAAACTGAGGAAAAACTGGGTGTTTACGAAGGTCTCAGTTTCGATGCAAGAAAAAATAATGATTTGCTGGTTAAGAAAAATGAAGCCAATCTGAAACGTGTTATTGTTAGGGAATTAATCGATGCATCAGCAGAATATATTCGATAAAATGTCCAATTTTGTTTAAGACGAGAATCAGATTTTTCACCTCAAAAGTTTGCTGAATAGCTCTCATGAGAATATTACATTTCATCGGAGAGAAAAATAAACGCAAACTTTCGTTCGACGAAATAATTACGTACAAATTACAGAAGTGCTGAAAACGTCGGCCAATTCGAATATGTAAATACTGAACTGTATATTTTATTTTCTCAAGCTATAATTTATCTTCAATTTTCAGCGTAATGTAGCGTTAAAATTTGCGGAAATCGGGTGCTCTTGAAGGGTTGATTTCCTGCTGATAAATTTTCTGCGGTGGAAAAATATGTTTTTCGAGACGATGATACGAATTATTATGGATAAATATGGTTGATTAGTTTAGCACTCAGCAGTATAGCTAGGATTAAAATCTTGCATTCATTGAAGTCAAAACGACGTTTTTGGCACGATTTTGTTCGAAGTTCTTCCCTTTCTATTAGGCAGGAATTGGAACAAACGACGAACGTTTTTTCAAAGAAATTGAGCAGTTCGAGGAAATTTTGCGTTCTTTTCAATTTACATATAACTTTTTATTGGTTTGCGTCTTTCGAGCCTTGACTAAAAATAGTCAACCCAGTGAATAACCTTTCAGTGGATACATTTTGACTGTGAAAACATTTTTCTATGTACTGTATTTTTTGCATTTTATTTTCGACTTGAGCAGATATTTTTTTTTAAACATGGGAAATAGAGAAAAATTGGGTAAATTACTAAAAACGTGGCATAAACGTCCTTTTTCTGTTTTAGAAACATTTTAAAATATTATTGTACGTCGGTTTGAAAAATCCGCACTTTCCACAGCATCACAAAAATGTAGATTTCAATCAGTTTCATATTATGCGTCAGAGTTTGATTTTTAATCCGCGGCTTCACCATCAACGATTAAACTGAAAGAATAATCTTTAAAATAGTCCACGTCTCAGTACTGGAGTTGTTACGGTTGAAAATAACACGCGATTATTCTGCAAGCGTGCCCAAGTTGCAGTGCAATTTTATTTTTATTTTCGCAAGCATCAAAAGTGATGAAAATAGTGTACAATTAATAACGTTATAATCAAGACAGATAGCAATCTAACTGCCAAAAGGCTGAAATTATAGCGCCTGACAATATCTCATTATCAAAGTATTGATTCTAGAATATATGTCTTTTGTTCCGCTATTCCTCAAAATCGCTTGTTAAACTCGATTACTATAGAATCAACTGTCACTTCTGATGTCATTAAGTGTTGAAAGCCATGTGATTAAAGATGCCATTGCCGTGAAATTCAGAACTCCGTTTGATACAATTACCACGTATGCAAGATTCTTCGTCTCAGTACAAGGAAAATGTGGGCAACGAAAAGACCTACGGAAAATTCGGATGTTGAAGAAGCTGCTGTGATTGCTTTGAATACCAAAAAAGTTCATTTGCATCAGAATTGCAGGTCTTGGAGAGTGGGGAAACTTTTCAGATATGCTTTCATAGCGGTTTGTCTGGGCCTCATGGCTGATCAGGTAAATATATATGGCTTGAAATTGTGGAAGACTTTTCGGAATTTTCTATTATTTTTGATTGTCCTATATGCGCAAGAAAGTTTGAATATATTCAACGTTGCTTCAATGATGAAAAGACTTTTCCAAAAATTTTTAGAGCAGGTCTGCAAAATGTGTGACTCAACAATCATCAGTGTGGAGACCACAAAAATATGCACACATAATTTCTCCAACTGTGTTCATACCTTATAGAAAATCCACATGTTGGATCATAATTTCCCATAGTGAACTTCGAGGGGCAATTTTCATCTTTTCTCTTACTTTTAGAAAATTGAAAAACATTATCCAAAATTCCAAATAAAAAATTTTATTGTTCAATTAAAAACAGAAAATAATTGTGCAGAAGCGGAAGCCACGCAGAATCTGCCCTTCAAACTAATAATGGTTTAGGAATAGGCAAAAAATAAGCTCACTGACTAAATACATAATACTTCATTGTGCAAATTTGATGGAAGAATCCACAAAGGAAAATGGTGTCTTGTTTTAGAAGCTAAATTAAAGCGCATACAAAATTAGACCAAATTTTCGTTGAAGAACTTCCAAAAAAAAATTCAATATTTGAGGATCCATAGGTAATTTTTTCATCATTTACTTGAACCCCACTTTACGGCAGTACTTTTTCTTCTGTGCCAAATGAATTGTCTGCAATGACAATAAGATCATTCAACAATTTATTTGTCCAAAAATGATCCAATTATAACTGGGGCTTGAAATATTTAAAAGGCCAATTAAAAAAGCATAAATTTACAATGACAATAATACAAATAAAATATATACAGGGACATCCGAAATGAATACATAATTATTTCCACCTGTTTTACCATATTGCAGAAAGTTAATCCCAATTGTCTAAGCTATCATACAGTCCAAATATATATAGGCTTCTATTTGGTGTTCCGTCTTCTGAACTTTTACCTCACCCTCAAACCATTTATGGTCAAGATATAGAAGTTCAAAAAATTAAAAAGCTGGTGGTCAACCCTCTGTCATGATCATGTTCAAAATTCGAAAACAAAAAAGAATAATCCCGGCTACTTTGTTTTGGGCCTTCACGGAAATAGAAGAAAGGCCTTAGGTCATTTTAGAATACCATTCCAAATAATGCACTGTGAATGGCAAGGGTAAAGTATGAGTGAATTCATAGATGTCGCTTGTAGTCTCAAATTTGTTTCAATCTCTTTTCTTAAGATATCCCAAGTTTCATGTACAGTATATGGTGCCACTTAGATTCCTCCTGAGATAGCATTAATAAGAGCCTAATAATGCACGAGGCAAAGGATAATCACTATCGCAAGCATGACAATAATGAGAAAGCTAGCTCCTGAACATTATCTCCATGTAACTAGATTACCTATATACGTAAGATACATATAGAATCCGTTATTATCGGATACACAAGTACAAACAGGATAAGGTTTCTCATGGGTTTTATTTTCCTCACTTTTCTCCAAAACAGACCAGGATTTGCGTGGAAAAGTTGCTGAACCCTCCAATAGTGTCCAAAGTGGAAATAATTTCCAACGAAAAAATTTGGTACCCGGCCGTCACGATCTGCTCAGATTTCCGAAACAGATTCAAGCAATCTGAGATTTTGGCACACGGATTAGGTTGGCAAGACGGAGCTCCGAAAATGGGCAGCACCAACTGGAAAAAC